ATTAGGATTTATCTTATCGTTTCTCATTCTTAACCCCAATTAATTACATCGTCAGGCGATCGTAACTCAGGTAACTAATAGATCTATAGGATAAAACGAGAGGAAAGATTAGGTAGACCAAACCAATCTTCATCTTCTAATCGTTATTGAATTAACAAATTCATAGGCTCCTTAGGCTTTTTCTAAATTAATAACCTGCATGACCATTGGGGATATTAACTTAGAGAAAAGAATATTAATATTGCATGACCATTGGGTATTAATAGTATCAGTATGAATGATTAGTAATCACAAGAAAATCAGATTTAGATCTAAATAGAAGAATATCATAAAGGATTAAATGAAAACACCCATACGCCCTAGGTTCCTCTCTGATAAAGTTTAACCAAAACGTGCTTTGTGTTTCTTGCTCTTAGTATTTACAATTGATTTTATAAATTCTCGTCTTGATTAATCTCGCATATTTGAAGCTCAAACAATTAAATTAGAAAAACTCTTAGTAGTTGATAAACAATCCTTGTGGGACGATATTTCGGGAACTTAGTTGAAAACCCTTTATTACTTTTCGACGGGTACACTTGCTCTTCAAACACGGTACAACATGTTATTATTTTAGTTATTTGTTTATACTAATATCTTTTTTGGTTACAATGATTATATTAATATTTGATCAACTATTTTGAGATTAATAAAATATTTGATTGAAAAAAAATAAAACTAAGGTAAAAAGAGAAATAATTGTATTAAATTTTTATATTTAGTTTGGTATTTTTTTAGCACTACGCCAAAATGAAGATCTGAGAGCGGTAATGTTTTAAATTAGAGAGCGTTTAGAACTTCTTTAAAATCTTATGTTATTTGATGTGTTATATTTAAGAGAGCAGTTAAATAACTGCTCTTAAAAGTTAAGATGTAGAACTGCTCTCCAAAGTATAAATGTAGAGTGTGAATATGAAATTTGAACTTGGTTTCTTTTTGAGTTTTCTACTACAAAGTAAAATTAATTTATTATTACGTTTAAATCAAAATTTAGAATTGATTTATTTGTGAGTTTTCTTTATTTTTATCACTAATCAAAATTGAATCTTGAGTTTATATGTTTGGTATTAACTAAACAGTCCACATCTACATGAACCAAACAGAAAAAAAAGAAAGAACAAATTAGTAGGATAATTTTTAACATTAATAGAGAGAAAAAAGAAAGAAAGAGAGAATGGATGATTCACCGTTAATAAAGAGAAGAAGAAAGAATGAAGAAGTACCTACAGATGTGAAAAACAAATCAATTTGTTAGCACAAAAAATATGAAGAGAGCATGCTAACAAAGAATAAAGAGGTACTTACAGATAGGAATGGAAATAGGTCAGGCCGTCTGACAGGGCCTATGGCCTGGCTTAGTTTAGGCTTAAACAAATCATGCTTAGGTTTTTCGTAAGGCCTATTTAAGTAAATAAGTCAGGCCTGAGCTGTTTATAAAGATTGTTAAGCCTGACAGACCAGCCCGTATATATATATATATATATATATATATATATATATATATATATATATATATATAATATAATTTAAAAAAAGTTGTCAAAATATATTTAAATAATAAATTTATTTAATAATAAATTATTATATTTATTATATTTAAACAATTTAAATAATAGTTAAGTCTTTAAACAGAAATAACACGTAATCAAAACTAAACGAAATAAAATTTAAAAATAAAATAATAAAATTATATTAACATATTTTTTATACTCTTAATTTTATTATTATTAATTTAATTATTTAATTATTATATTAATATATTATATTATAATTCTTTTTATTTATAATAAATAGAAATTGCTTAAATCTAAATTATATTTTATTTGAAAGTAAAAATTTATAAAAAATGTGATAACAAAATAAAATAAAAACTTATTATATATATATAATCAGACCATGTAACAAATAATATAAATAATATAATTATAAATAAATTATATAATAATATATATTTTTGTAACTTGCACGTGTTTTAATTAAATTAATAGTTAATTTATCAATTTATATGTAATATAAGTATGTGTTTTAATTTATTGTATCAGTAATATTTTCTATATTACATTAATGTTATAGTGTAGTTAATTTTACGTTTATTTATTAATTTAAAATAATAAATTAATGAAATAAATAAAATTAAATATTTTATAATAATTTTTTTTTAATTTAATAGTTATTATTATTGTCATTTTATCTATCTATATATATATATAGTACATTAAGTTTAAATTTTTATATTAAGTTTTATCACATTTTTTTAATTAAGATAAAAATTTAGAAATATAAGTTATTTTAATTTAAATATAAATTTTAATAATTCTTCCTATGCTCATATATTATTTTTCTGCATTTATAAATTTTATAATATAAATATTTTTTATTTACAATTTTTATAATGACAATATTTATTTACTTTTTAAAATATAATTATTTTTTTGCTGATTCAATAAGTTTTGTAAGTGTTATTTTTTGTTATCAATTTTATGTGTATACTGTGATTTTATTATTAAATATAAGATGTCTTTATATAAATAAAATATAATTATCATAAAAAATAATTAAAATATTTAATAATTTTATAATTTTATAAAATTAAATTGAGAAAAATAAAAATATAAAATTATTATAATTATTTAACAATTATCAATAACACAAATAAAAATTTGAATATATAAAAACTAATTTAATAATAAAATAATTATATTTTTATTAATATTATCCAATAACAACAATCATTATAATTTTTTAATATTATACAAATGTTATTTTATTTTTTATCTTTTTTTAAGTAATTTTATTGGTATAAAATTTATAATAAAAAATTTCATTGATTGTATTCACTACATCACAACAAATCACAAACTTAGCACAATGAGTCAAAGCTGCTATCGCACTTATTTTTTATTCTTGTTTTATTATTATCTATAATTACTTTGAATATAAATATAAGGTAAATTATTATATTTGTTTGAACAAGCTGAAAAGCATCTAAGTTTTTAAATAAGATTAAAACGCAATTGAAATTCAATAAACTAATATTTAAAAATAAAATAATTATATTATATTAATAAATTTTTCATATTTTTAATTTTATTATTATTAATATTTAATTATTATATTAATATATTATGTTATGATTTTTTATATTTATAATAAATAAAAATTGCTTAAATATAAATTATATTTTATTTGAAAAAAAAAATTATAAAAAATAATAAAAAATAAAATAAAAAATTTATTATAATATATATAAATATATATATATATATATATATAATCAAACCATTTAGCAAATAATATAAATAATATAATTATAAATAAATTATATAATAATATATATTTTTGTAACTTGCACGTATTTTAGTTAAATTATTAGTTAATTTATCAATTTATATGTAATATATAAGTATATGTTTTAATTTATTGTATCAGTAATATTTTCTATATTATATTAATGTTATAATATAATTAATTTTATGTTTATTTGTTAATTTAAAATAATAAATTAATGAAACAAATAAAATTAAATATTTTGTAATTATTTTTTAATTTAATAGTTATTATTATTGTCATTATATATATATATATATATATATATATATATTGCATTAAGTTTAAATTTATTCATTTTTTAAAATATAATAATTTTTTTTTAATCGATTCAACAAATTGTGTGAATGTTATTTTTTTTATCAATTTTATTTGTTTACTATAACTTTATTTGTTAAATATAAGATGTCTTTAAATAAACAAAATATGTTTCTAAAATAAAACTAAAATATTTACTATTTATATAATTTTTAAAAAATAAATCAAGAAAAATATAAAGATAAATTTTATTAATATAAAATATTTATAATTAATACTTAAATAATATTTTAAAAATTATTTATAAAATTATATAAATATTATTATAATTATTTAATAATTATTAATAACATAGATAGAAATTAGAAAATTATATAAACTAATTTGATAATAAAATATTTATATTTTTATTAATATTAATCTTTTTTTTGTAACAGGCTTTCTTAACGGGCTTCAGGCTAGGCTTGATCACTTAAATAGGCCAGACCAAGCTTAAAATAAAGCCTGGCTGGTCTGTTTCCATCCCTACCTATAGATATAAAAAAAAATTAATTGTTAACGCAGAGAAGATGAAGAGAGCAAACTAACAGAAAAAAATGAAGATAACATAAGATAACAGAGAAGACAAATAAAACTTACGGTAAAAGAGACAAACTTTATTAGTTAAGAAGAAAAAATGCGTTGAGCGTGTTTCATTTATAAACAACTTTAATGACTTTAGAGAGCAGTTCTTTATTAACCACTCTCCAATGTGTGACTTTAGAGAAATCTGAGAGCGATTTTCTATTAAACTGCTCTCAGAAGTATAGATTTGAGAACAGTTAATAGAGAACTGTTCTCTAAATATATAGTTATAAAGCAATTTTTACTAACCATTATCTAAGTTAGCGTTTAAAAACTCATTTCTGACGTAATGTAACTATCCTAAATATATTAAAAAAATTTATTTTTAAAATTAAACGAACGATAAATGAAACAAAATAATTCACTTTAAAACAATAAGATCAAATATCATTCCTTTTGCTAGAAATTTTGCTTGAGAAAAAAATTAATCGTGTACATTTTAATCAATTTTATTCAAAATTTTCAAATTTATTCTAAAATTTTAAAAAAAAATTTAAAATGTTTAATAATTCTCAAATTTAAAATAATTTATTATTTTAATTTTTCTATATATTAAAAATTATTATTATTATTATTGGGTTGGTAATTGGTGGAAGTACCAAGTGGAAGTGCTGTTTTAAGAAGCAAACTGAAACTAGGAAGAGGCATCTGAATTGGTTAGAAACGACAAATGCGAAAGAGATAAACTCATAAAAGTGAAGGGCCATCTTGACGAGGATGATGCAGCAAGTCCCGAAACGACAACCTTCTCCACCGTGCATTTGCCACGTATCCTAACAGTTCACCGCCTTGCAATCTCTCAGACCGACATTTCTGGGCCCACACAGTACACCTCCCCATGTCTTCCTCCAAGTAATTACTTTCCCTTTCCAATTTTGAACTCTGCATTCTCATCATATGTCGGTCACACATTATGTACTGTCATTGGCCTTCTTTTTCCTTAATCGCGTAAGATGCGCGTCATGCCAACTATATAACGCTATCCTACCTTCTCATTTCACACACACTACTTTCACCCCCTCACCCACTTAGCAACCACATAGTTCCGTTCAATCCTCTCTCGTGTTTTGTGTTTGTTTTTGTTCCCTTTAAGTGATCATGGCAGAGGAGAAGCAGAACCAGAGCCATGAGTATGACGCCACTGCCACCAATACTGAGGCCGAGATCAAAGACCGTGGCCTCTTTGATTTTCTCGGCAACAAAAAGGAAGAAGAGAAGCCTCAGGAGGAGGTGATCGCCACTGAGTTTGACAATAAGGCCAAGCTCTCCAATGAACCTCACATCAACCTGGGGCATCAGCATCAGCAACAGCAACAGGATCAGGATCAGCATCAGGATCAGGATCAGCAGGGGGACAAGAAGCAAACCCTTTTAGAGAAGCTTCACCGATCCACCAGTAGCTCCAGCTCCGTATGTTTTTTTTTTTCTTTTGTGTACATATGAAAAGATAAGCATTAATTAATGAAGGTTGAAGAGAGGATATTATACTGTCTAGTCTAAACCACTTATGCTGTGTTGACAGTACGCTTTGATTTAATTTGAAGTTTTAGGGATATATGTTTGTTCATCTATGTAAGCTTCAATTTATTATATTAAGATGCTCGATGTTTATGTTTGCATGCAGTCCAGTGACGAGGAGCAAGAAGGAGAAGGTGGGGAGAAAAAGAAGAAGAAAAAGGAAAAGAAAGGGCTGAAGGAAAAGATAGGAGGTGATGATCACAAGGAAGAGAATAAGGAGGAGGACACCGCTGTTCCGGTTGAAAAAGTGGAGGTTGAGGCAGCACACCCTAACGATGAAAAGAAGGGTTTCCTAGACAAAATTAAGGATAAGCTGCCAGGTCAGCACAAGAAACCAGAGGAAGTACCCCCGACATCATCAGAGTATGTTGCTGCCCACTCTGAGAGTAAGGCTCATGATGAAGAGGAGGCCAAGGACAAGGAGAAGAAAGGCCTTTTGGATAAGATCAAGGAGAAGCTTCCTGGTTATCACCCCAAGCCAAATGAAGACAAAGAAAAAGAGAGCGATGTTCATTGATAATTTGAGACTAAGACTACGTTATGTTTGGCAATTAAGGGTCATTGTGGTATTCTGTTTATTTTCATCGTCATCTTATTGTATTGTTGGTGTTTCAAGAAATGTACTCCATATATAATATTTTGTAAAATATAGATATGTGGAGTCTGCCTATATTTCCCTTTTTAGATAAAGTGTGTGAAAAAAAAAGTAAAAAAATTGTATGTATTGATTGTTGAAAGTAAATGAAAGAAATTCTGTGTTTTATATATCTGAGTAGCTGCTAGAATCTCTCTTAGATGGTGGTGGTTTCTACTAAACTCGGAAGGAAGAAGGATATTAAACCAACTCGGGGCTACTATACCGTGGGTCTAAATAGGAAAACAAAAATGGTAATGCTAATGCCATGAACGGATCATTCTGGCGACATTCTCGTGCTTTCTGATTTGACTGTAAGAAAAAAATAAAGCAGGTGTACCCCACTCCAATCAAAGGCTGTATCTATATATAAATGATGAACGCTGGGCTGATATGGTGGATGAGTTGACACTTGGTAACGTTTTAGACGTTCCAGTAAAGCCCTTCTTTCCCGTGGGGCCATTGATTTGAACTAATGAATGTTGCAAGCAGCAAGCTAAAATATTCCGCCAAGTGGCATTGCTAGTTTAGTATCTCTGTCTCACTCAGAAGAAGTCATTTACATTATAATTTTAAGATGTTAGCCCATCACAAATTCATATATCTCTCGTCATTTTATTCTTCTAATAACTTTTTATAATTTTTTCTTCTTTTTTTCACTCTACAGACTGATTAACGACTAGGAATGTTAAAATAGGCTAGATGGGTCGGTTCACTTAGTATGCTAAAAATTGCAGGTTGAACTCAACATTCTAAACTCCACTCCAATTTTAATTTGTCAAAATGCAAGCCAACATTGAATCAGGACAGGCTAGTTTCCTTTTTTTAATTTAAAAAAATATAATTATTTATACATTAAATAATACTATGTATTAATATAAAAATATTATTTTAATTTTTTTAAAAATTTATTGGTCTTTAATAAACTAACTTTTTAGGGCACCAGTTCATACTTATTTTAAAAAATAAGACGAAATGGTTCGTTTTGAGATAACCTTTTGGCAAAATGGACCAGCCCACTTTAACATCCGTATTAGTGACCCCATCTTTCATGAATCGACTTACAATGTAGCAAGCAATGAAATCAGCCACTACTTCTGCATCTAGGAATCCCCTAGAAATTGAAGGCAATAGGGTCTTGCTAATTGGGTGGAAAAAGCCTCAATGTTTCCAGTTGCTGCTTGCTTTGCCGTGGAACGCTTTTAATCAAAACATATATAAGCATGGGCGTAATATACATTGTTCTTATTTATTATTCAAAACTATTTTGACATATTTATAATAAATAATAATCATTTGATAGGAAAAAGTTGTCAACTTAACATTTTTTTTTGTGATTTAGATTTTATTGTTTGGTTATTTTAACTTTAGTCTTAAGCAATTAATAATTAATAGTAAAATTTTATCAAAAAATATTTATTACACTTTTCTAAGTTTAGTACAATAAATGTGTATTTTTTTTATAAAAAAATATTTATAAATTATTTATGAACTGTTAAACTCAGCTTTGAGTACCCATGTTAACAAACAAAAGTATTTATTATTAACATAAATGCTTTACATAAAAGGATAAACTAAAGAAAAGATTCTATAAAATTTAAATTTTTCATTTGAATGAATACACTAACTGATTTATTATCACTATAGAAAGCCTGAAAAAAAGTTATTGATATTTATATTAATAAACTATACGCGTGCAAATATTAACTATATACTACTTATGCTTGGATCTAAGCATCAAGATTTTGTTAGTCATACACACCCAATGATAAGTGAGTGTTTTCCTTTTTCTAAATATAAGTTTCGACCTCAACTTATTTTGTTTAAATGTCCCGACCCCTCAAGTTATACACTACAAAAAATAAATGCTAACATAAAAGTGTTAGTAGTTAGACTTACCTCATTAGTATGATGTTGGAATGGTGTGCAAGTGTAATGATAATTTTTATCTATTGTCAATATAAGATTTCTTTTGTGATATTTATAATAATAATAAATTAATTTTGTTGTTTTTTTTATCATATTCAAGACTGATATTTTCTGAAGACATTTTTATTTTGCTTTCAGTGGTGTAGTAACTAATGACTATGGCTTCGTTTGTTTTACTCTTAGGGTATGTTTGGGAGAGGATTTTTGGAGGGGAAGAAAGAGGAGGGCTTATTTTTATATTTTAAATAAATATATTTAAAATTAATAATTTTTAAAAATAAAAGATATAAATTAATATAATAACAAAAACTTAATATATTAATAATATATTTGTCATCCTAAATAATATATAATTTTTTAATATAAAATTAAAAAATAAGCCTTCCCCTCCCTTCCCCTCCAAAAATCCTCTCCCAAACATACTCTTAAAAAATTAATTATTACTTTTTTTTTTAAGAAAAACACATCTAATGTAACTTTTTTTTTCAAGATAAATTTTATCTAGCTCTATTTTGGCCCCGTTTGATTCAAAATTGGATAATTGATTTTAATATGTTAAATACAATTGAAATGTATCTTTAAATTAATCTCTACTGTATATTTATATTGAAATATTTATTTTTTATTTACATGGTAAGAAAAATATACTTTAATTGGTTAAGATAAAAAATATCCCAATTTCAATAACCGTTAATGGCTTTTAAATATTTATTGGTAATGAATAAATTTTAAAACTATTTAGTTAAAGTGCCTTACGTACAATCTTGGACTTGCCAACTTAGGCATGAAGGAATCTATAGTTTAGAGAGGAGCAACCGAGAAAGATGATCAAAGGCTGGAAGCATGACGCTAGTTTCCATGAGGAGAATCTTGAGTTATTGAAAATGTTGAACCTGTTGGAGTTGGGCATTAATTAGACGTCGAAGATAATATCCCATTTCGTTGCTCAAGAACATATAATATTATTTTAAAAAACAGATATTATTTTAAAAATCCCGCTTAAGAAGGAATCTTAAGAGCTAGTCTTTCAACTTGTGGCTTAAATTAAATTAAATGGTGTCTACAATTTTGTGCAGTGTACACAATTATTAGTGTAACAGTGTCATATATGTAACGCCTCAAATTTTGTATTATTAATTATTGTTATATATATATATATATAAATATAAATAAATGTTGAAATTTGTACTTAGTGCGTGATGATAATGTTAATATGTATAATGTATATGGATGCGTATAAATGTATACGATTGAATTGGATTGAGAAACAGGTTAATGGTGTAATATTGGGGCGTTCTCGCTGTAGCGAGGGCCCTCTGAGGAAGGTGTGAAACTGACGCCTTCTCGCTGTAGCGATAAAGTGATAGTTTGAGATGCATTTCTGGGTGTAGTCTCGCTGTAGCGAGAGAGCCTCGTTGTAACAAGATTCTACAGAAACTAGAGTGCAGTTTCTGCTGAGATTTTCACTGTAGTGATAAAGGGCGTCACTGTAGTGAGAGTGTCTCGCTGTAGCGAGAGTGTCATGACCTGAGGGGTATTTGAAGGGGTTAGGTTTGGGAAATTTATTTTCCATTCTTCTCTTCAATTCTCTCGACCCAAAATCCTATTTCACTGATTAAATTGCCTCCAAAGCCGTCGTAAGTTAGATTGAAGGTTGAATTCGTGTTGGGAATGCTTGGAGGGATAAAATTAGTGTGGGAAGTCCTTTTCATTGTTGATTCGTGCGTGGGTCTTCAATCCAAGGTAAGGGGAGACTCTACCCTCAATTTGTTTGGAACTCCATTTACTTGCTATGTTTTAGTAATGTGATTGAGATAGGATATGTGAACTAGTGTGTTTTGATTGATAATGCATGTTGGGTATGATTTTAATGATGTTAGGGCCTATTATGAGTAGATTTGGACGAGGAATTGATGTGGAACATGAATGAGTGTGCTTACCTGTCATTGATGGATGTAGATTATGTTAAAATCGTTGTATGTGAGTTGGAAATGCTGTGCGTCGAATGTAACGCGAATGAATATGGGCACTTGTGCCATGTGTTGTGAAAGAATGTGGGCCTATGTGCCGTGTAAAGTGAATGACTAGGGGCATTGTGTCATGTGTTGTGAATGAATATTGTATGTGACTGAAATGTGTGTGAATGAGGCGTGATAAACGCCTTTGTAATGATGCTATGAATGGTTCAACGATACATTGAAGGTATGAAAGATGAGAACGGTAGAAATACCTTGGGGAAGAGCAAGTGGTGGTGACACCAACAATGGGCGTGGATGCGCCACAGGCCACACACTTTCCTCTTGACTAGACCTCTGACCACTACCTTTTCTGAGTAACTCGTGACTGCCCACGCAGTATCCGTGAGGCAGGGGTAACCGGCGATCATCCATGGTGTGAAACTATGATCACAGTACCACAGTGAGCGTGACTACGTGTAGTGAGCACAAGTGTGTAGAATGTTTTGGTGCCGTAAGTGCATCGGTTATGAATTGAAAATGATTTGCTTGAAAGTGTTGTTGTGATTGATTTTACTTATGTGAAATGTGTTAGAAACTACGTGAAGGGTGTTTGATGTGAGTCTATGTTTGTGTGTGTTGGATAGTGTAGAGTACTCACTCCTACGTTTATTTTTCAGGTGACCAAGACGATCAACTTGGACTCAGTGAAAGAATGAATGAGACTGCTATAGGACTCTGGTTTTATTTTGAAATTTTAATGTATTTGAATTAGTCCTGTAGCAGTTTTCTTGATCAAAATTTGTAAACACACATTATTTGGAAATGCTTTGTCGAACTGTGTATGGGAAAACCTATTGAAAATGAAATTTTTATTATTCTCATTTTGCGAAATATATTATTTTGAAATTAAATTTAAGGTGTTACACTATCATGTTAAGTAATGTTTATAAATAATAAGTGTTTTGAGAAAAGTAACGTAGCTTGCATGCAATATGGTCCAATAAAAATATTTTTCACTAGTCAATGTTTTCAGCTATAGTAGCTTGGATTAAGTACTAATGTTACCTCCTTTAAATTAAATTTGTATTATTTCAAGTATTTTCTTTAACTTCTAAAATAAATCATCATTCAATGACTTTATTAAAATATTTGCAACTTGATTTTTGATATAATAATACTTATCACTACTTCATTTTCAGCTACCAATTCTCGGATCTTATGAAATTGAAGATCAATGTGCTTGGACTATCCATAAAACATTAGATTTTTGCAAAGTGCAATAGTATATTTATTATCACAAAATATCTTTATGGGAATACTACGTTTCTAGTGCATCTCTTCTAAAATTTTTCTCAATCATATTGTCTGAGCTGCACAACTAGCGGATGCTATGTATTCTGCTGTGACTGGTGAAAGGAAGATAACTGATTATATTTTTTAAGCCCATGATAATGCACTGCTACCAAGATGAAATGCGTTAGATTGAAGATTATTAATCTATAATTCCTCACTGACTCTTAGAATATAGAACAGGAACTCTCAGACAAAGAACTTAGAATACAAAGATGAAAGAAAACTCACTCGTGGAACTCACACGAGGAAGAACAATTCCAAGGGACTAAATGTTATTACTTTTTCTGAATGAATGATATTACAATAGGATATTGCTATTTATACAAGTGAAAGTAATGGAATTAACTACCATTCCCACTTAATTTCTAACAACCCATGTTATTTT